GGAGCACCTTGGGCATGCAGGCCCCAGCCAGAGGTCCACCCAGATACCATTGGTAAGTACAAATGTGCACAGACTCCAGCCAGAAGCCCACTGGAACAACAGAGGAATAAGTGCACAAGCCCCTGCCAGGGCACCCCCTAGACATCAGCAATGTGGGGCAGGCCTCAGCCAAAGGCTGGCCTAGAAAAGAGCTGCACAGGCATGCAGGCCCCAGCCAGAAGCCTGCCCAGACACCAGCAGCTTGGTAGCACATTCCTTCAGCAAGAAGCCTGCCCAGACAACAGCACAGCTCTGGGATCCAGAAGGCCATCATTCTGAACCCAACTATTGGTGTAATGGTGAGTAGCAAAGAGGAGGTCTCTCTGAGGCTTGCTGAGAATTGAAACCCACTGGGCGAGCAAAGAATAACCTCGATAAAGGTGCAGCAGATTGCATTGACTGAAACGAGAAGACATCTAAACAAGTCTCAAAACCAGACTTCCAGATTACCAAAGGCAACCTCAAGGGACAATGAGATGGAACAATCTAAAACTCAATGACCTGGACTCCCTGAACTGGCAATGAAAGAGGATCTGAAAAAAATAAAATCAGAAATTATTTCTCAGATAACAGCAGAGATTATGTCCATAGTGAAAGACATGATTAATAACTCTAGAGCAGATACAGACAAAAAAAAAATGAGGAGCTGAGAAACATGATTGAATCCCACCATAGGAAACAAAAGCAATCCATAAAACAGATGCAAACAGATATCCAGGACATTAAAAATTCCATTGAAGGGCCAGGCATTTGGCTCAGTGGTTCTGCCACCTGCCTTGCAAGTGCAGGGTCCCAAGTTTGATCCTCGTATGAAAAAAATTTTCCATTGAATGTTTACTCAGCAGAATGAGCCAATGTGAGGGAAGAATATCAGATACAGAAGACAGTATTGTGATTAATGTTCATAAAAAGAAAGACTTCTTAAAAATAGCAAGGGACCATAACAAATCAATCCAGCAGCTGCTAGATGATTCAAAGAAGAATAATATAAGACTGATAGCAGTGAATGAAGAAACAGGAGATAGTACAAATGATTAAAAAAAACAAAAAAACAAAAAACTGTTCACAGAAGTAATGGCAGAAAACTTCCCAAGCAGGGGAAAAGAATTTGACATACAGATAAGTGAGACATTTAGGACTCCAACTAGCCATGATCAAAAAAAAATCTACACCTAGACATATAATAGTCAAGATCCCAGAAACCCAACAGAAGAACAAAATCCTACAAGCAGTTAGAGAAAAGAAAGAAATTACATACAAAGGAAAGGCCATCAAAATCATAGCAGACTTCTCAACATAAACCCTCAAGTGAAGGAGAACATGGAATGAAGTATTTCAAGTCCTAAAAGAAAACAACCTCCAACGTGGATTGATGTATCCTGCAAAACTACCTTTCAAAATTGATGGTGAAATAAGATACTTTCATAGCAAAGAACACTTGAAGAACTTCAAGAATAAGAAACCAGTACTCCAAAAACTTTAATCAATATTCTAGGAAAAGATAATGAGGGTCACAACCCCAGGAAACCCAGCAGAAGGAATCCATCAGACAAGACAAGAAATTAAATGCAAAAGAGGAGAATACAACAAGAAAAGGTAATGGTAATGTTAATGGTCTCAATTCACCAATCAAAAGAAATAGACTGGCAGAATGGGTCAAGAAGCATGATCCAACAATATGATCTACACAAGAAACTCACTTAACTCAAAAAGAAACTCATAGACTGAAAGTTAAATGGTGGAAAACAATACTCCATGTGACAGGAACCCCCCAAAAACCAGGAGTAGCTATTTTATTTGGAGATAAAATGGATTTCAAACCAACACTAATTAAGAGAGACAAAGAAGGTCACTATATCTTTTTAAAGGGAACAATCCAAGAGGAAGAAATGACAATCATAAATATATATGCACCAAATACTAGTGCACTCAACTTAATAAAACAAATATTAATGGACATGAAAAATCCAATAAGGACTAATACAATAGAAGTGGGGGACCTCAATGCCACACTTCCACAAATAGATCAACTAGACAAAAAATAAACAAAAAAATACTAGAACTCAACCAAACTCTTGAATAAATTAACTTAACAGATGTTTATAGAGTATTCCACCCCCCAAAATCAGAATGCACATTGTGTTCAAATGGACATGGGTTGTTCTACAAAACAGACCATGTATTTTCTCATGGAACATATTTAAGTAAATGCAAAGGAATTGAAGTTATCCTCTGTATATTTCCAGATCACAGTGCAATGAAATTGGAGATCAATAGCAAAGGAAACCACAAGAATGTCATAAACACATAGATATTAAACAACACACTCCTGAACAACTAATGGATCACAGAAGAAATTAAAGAAGAAATCTGACAGTTTCTACAATTAAATGACAATCCCCATACAATATATTGGAATTTACAGGATACAATGAAAGCAGTCATATGAGGGAAATTCATAGCAGTGAATACTCATATTCGGAAAATATAGTAAGCTCAAATAAACAACCTAATGCTGAGGCTCAAAATTCTAGAAAAAGAAGAGCGGGACAAACCCAAAGCTCATACAAGGGAGGAAAGTATAAAGATCAGAGCAGAAATCATGCAATGGAAACTAGGAGAATGACACAAAAAAAATCAATGAAGAGTTAGTTCTTTGAAAGAATAAACAAAATTGACAAGCCCTTAGCCAAACTTATAAAAAAAGGAAAGAAAGGACCCAAATCCATATGATTAGGAATGGAAAGGGTGAAATTACATTGGAACCAGCAGAAATTCAGAGCATCATCAATACCTAATTTGAGAACCTGTATGCCAAAAAGATGAAAAACACAGAAGAAATAGACAGATTTCTAGATACATATGAATTACCAAATTTGGATGAAGAAGACCTAAAATTCTAAACAACCCAAAATCAACGAATGAAATTAAAATGTAATTAAAAACTTACCATTGAATAAAATCCGGGGTCCTTATGGCTTCAATGTTTAAACTTTTCAAACAAACTGAAAGGGAAGCAATACTCCTAAATTCATTCCTGGAAGCAAGCCTCACCTTGATCCCCAAAGCAGAGAAAGACCCAGTTGAAAAGAGACCTATAGAGAACTATACAACAATCTCTTTAATGAGCATATATGCAAAAATCTTCAATAAGACACTGGTAAACAGAAAGCAGAAGATCATCAAGAAGTTCATATACCCTAAGCAAATTGGATTCATCCCAGGGATGCAGGGATGGTTCAATATATGCAAATCAATAACTGTAATATACTATTTTAAAAGCCAAGGATAAAAACCATATGATCATCTTAATAGACGCAGAAAAAGTGTTCAACAAAATCCCTAAAGAAAATTGGAATAGATGGTCTGTATCTCAACCTGATAAAAGTCATCTATGAAAAACTGACAGCCAACATTATACTAAATGGTCAAAAACTGAAATCCTTCATGCTAAAATCAAGAACAAGACAAGTATGTTCACTTTCATCACCTCTGTTCAATATAATTATGGAAACATTAGCCACAGCAATTAGACAAGAGAAAGAAATAAACATAGAAAATAAAGAAGTTAAATTGTCATCATTTGTAGATGACATGATACTCTATGTAGAAGAACTTCATCAAAACTCTTCAGGACTTAATAACCAAATTCAGTAGAGTAGCTGGGTACAAGGTCAACACACAAAAATAAATAGCCTACCTGTACATGAACAGCAGACTCATTGAAAGAGGAACTGGAGAAACAAAGAATTATGAAATACCTAGGAATCAACCTAACAGAAGAAGTCAGAGACTTCTACTCTGAAAATTATAGCACTCTGAAAAAAGAGGTTGCAGAGGATAGCTAAATGGATTCACATTGAGGCCATACTCTTAAGTGAAATAAATAAAACACATATGTGTAAATACTGAATAGTTTCTCTTCTTTGAGAAACTGAAAGTGTAAATAAGGATGAAAATATATAATAGAGAATGTGAAATAGGAAGAAAAGGTCCAAAGGGGAAAGGGAATTGGGGGGTATAGGGGAAAGGAAAGAAGGGAAATGAATAAATATGAAAAAAGGAAAAAATGGGAACAAAGTCTTTGTAAATAGGGAGGGATGGAGGTGTTGAAGGGAGGGCAGGGGAATGGGGAAAAAAATAAGGACCAAGATATGTCATGGAAAAGTACAAGTTCCCAATGATGAATGTCATTATATTGTATACCTAAAATATACCAGTATACTTAATGAATAAAAAAAAACATTAGGAGCTGGGGATTTAGCTCAGTTGTTCTGGCACCTGCCTCGCAAGTACAAGGTCCAGAGTATCAAAAAAAAAAAATTAGGCTCTGTCTTTTAGATGTGCCACTCTTGCCATGGGGTCCCCTGCTCTACCTCAAGACTCTACAGAAACTGCCTACCAGCAAGAAGGCCTTCATCAGATGCAGCCCTACATGTACAACCTTCAGGATAGTGAGCTGAATGAATCTTATTCTTTGTAAATTTATCAGTCTGTTATTCATTTTAGCAACAGGAAATGGACTAAGACACAAGAAAAGCTATATCTTTCCAAACTCAGGCCCATGGCTATGGATTCCATATATGGAGTTATCTGCATCTGTGGGGAAAATCTGGAACCCAGCATACCTGGTGTAGTCTTAGAGTTTGGTCCAGCTGGGAAAACCTTACATTTGATTAGACACAGCAGGCTTAAGGCCTGAATCCATAGCCATGGGCATGAGTTTGAATCTACAAGGGCTGACCAAGCTCTGAGCACAGCTGGGAACCTGAGATTTCATGAAAAGTTCTGTGTATTAGTTAGGGTTCTTTAGAGGAACACAGTTAATAGAAAATATATGTATAATTATGCCAGGGGTTTTATTAAGTAGGCTTAAAATATCAAAGGTGGGTTTTTTTTCCTGCTTTCGATGTGTGAATTTGAACTTCTCAAGAGTGCTTTAGAACTAAAGAAGACAACAAATAGGGATCATCTGAAATTTATTGGCTCCCAGGACAAAGTTGGAGATCACTGCTCAAGCATAAATTTTCCTAAGACTGCTACAGAGATGTTTGATGTAAAGGCTTGGGCTGAATATGTTGTGGGCTGCAAAGGACACATATGGTTTCTTTACGACAGTTATTTTGGCTCCTACTCCACTGTTCCTAGCAAGTGCCATCCTGTCCTGGAACTTGACTAAGATGATTGAAGCCTGGGAGAAGGAGCAAAAGAAGAAACAAAAGTGTCAAGAAAATATTGCAAAAGCTAAATGACTGAAAAAAGATTGAAGGATGAACAGGGTCTGCAAACAGAAAGAAGTCATTTGGAAAAGTAGTCAGCTTTGAAAGGACCCCTTGAGGTTTCTTTGGATTTCATGAAAGTTATTACTGTGCATACAGAAGAATCATTCTGGAATGTGACCTCAATACTGAATTAACTTTTAGGCCTTGTCACAGATGTTTGAAGGTAACCATTGGCAGTTATTATAAATTAGTATTTTATTATACTGGTTATCACTGATGTCTAACCCAGAATACTCCAAAATCCAAAACTTTATATGCACAGATGTGATGCCGCAAGTGGAAAATTCCCCAGCTGACTTCTTGTGGGTCTTAGTCAAAATACAGATGCACTAAACATGTATAAAATTTCTTCCAGCCTACATGAAACAAATGAATTTCCTGAAGATGTCTCATTATGTATATACAAGTATTCCAAAATCTGAAAACATCTACAACATTTCTGGTTCCAGGCATTTCAGAGAAGGAACATTCAACCTATAGTACAAATTCTTCATTATTGCCTTAGTCATTATCCATTTTGTAGCTATGTTCTGAAATACAAACATCCTGTGGAAACAAATGACTTTACATTATGAACTCTATTCAAACAGTGATTTAAAACAAGGATCTATTCTCGACAAAGGATATTAAGAATGTTAAAGTCAGGCTGGGGATTTAGCTCAGTGGTTCTGCTGCTTGCCTCGTAAGCGCAAGGTCCCGATTTCGATCCCTGGTACCGAAAAATAAAAATGTTAAAGTCAAACTTATCCTCCTTGAAGTGAAGGTTTGCTTGGGCTTAAAAGAGATACAGTATATTAATCACATCTTTTATCTTATTGCTTATTTCTTGGAATCATTCTGGCATTTTCAAAGCAAAAATATATTGACAAGTATATCTATTCTGTATTTTTCTGATTTTGGCCTTTGAGACACCTCGTAATTATCAAGACATTCTGCATTTTTAAAAACCTAATTTTTAAAAGAATTGTCTTATTTTGACCATGCACAGTACCATCTACTAGATATAATGATTTTTGTACCTAGAAACACTGCCACTTTCTTAGCGATGAGTTGTGGAGTAACACTATGATTTAAAACTTGCAGTAAAAATGCCAAACACTGCAGTACCTTGGAAGCAGATTTTGTTTGTCCTAAAACTGTGAAACAGTTAAAATACCACGTACTTTGCTCATTATATTGATAACGCTTTTGTTTTTATTCCATTTGTTTTAACTTACGTGGTAATGATGTCCTGTACTTTTTGGTCAAACAGTTTGAGGTGAAAATTAAAACTTGTTTTTTTGAGGAGCTCTTAAAGAGTTAACATTGAAGTCATACTTCATAAGTGGTAAAGGCCCAAAATTTGGAAAAATTTTGTTGGGCATAGTAGTAATTGCACAACAGGATAAATTATGTCAAAATAAGGATGTGCTACAGTTAGGTCCAGCGCTAAAAGATCTTTCAATTAAGTAGTATAATCAGAACTTCTTACTATTAAACATGGCTTTTTCAAATGCATGGTCCAGTAATTTTATTTATGGAGTATTTAATACCTTATTAATGTTTTCTGCACCTCTGATGATGAATTTTAAGTTACTGTGATTGTCCAACAGCTCTAATTTAAAAATGAAACTAGGTATGAAATAAATTTGATACTTGTTTATAAAAAAAGATCAAAGGTGGAAGAGACTACAGTCATCATCTGCCAGTGAGAAGGCATAGGATCCAACAGATGCTCAGACTAAGAAAAGAAAAGCTGCAGAACAAGAAGTATCCAGGATGCAGAACCAGTTCAAAGTCAAAGGTCTGAAAGTTCAGTGGAGAGTCATCTGCATTGCAAGGCTGAAGAAACTGGAGATTTGGAGATTGATGTCCAAAGGTAATGAGAGCAAATGACAGATGAGCTCAGGAAGATTAGAGGTCTTCAAAATGGGCACATTTCCAGGTGGCATAGTTGCTTGTTCCTATGGTCCCACTTCTTGAAAGCTCAATGTAGGAGGAGTGCCTCAAGTTTGAGGCCAGCCTGGTTGACATAGTAAGCTCGAGAACATCCTGAAATACATAATGAGATCCTGTCTTAAAAAGGCGGGGGGACACATTTCCTTCTTGTTCTTTTTTAAAAATTGCATTCAGGCAACAATCCTATTGGTTGGTGTCAATAGGGTGACACCTCAAATTGCTGGTAAATGTGTCAGTCATCCAGACACACCAGAACTGTACTTTACTGATCTGCTAGGCATTTCTTCATCCACTGACATATCACAATTAAGGATTACAGCCTGGACCTAGATCTGAGTGTATGTCAGAGGAGAGTGTTAGAGGAAAGGCTAGCAACCTGGGTCCACAAGGCTAGGTTTGGGTCCTGAATTTATGGGAGCTGAGCTGGTGCTGGGCCAGGCCACAAACCTGGGTCCGTGCAAGGCCAACTTGGAGACTTGGTCTACATGGATCAGCTTGGTGCCAGTGTTCACTGAGGTGGACATAGTGCCAAGGTCTGAAATAAAGTCAGGTGCTCACACTTCAGTCTTCTTCCACACAGAGGAATTCTCTCTGGAGTGAAAATGCCCTTCTTTTCCTCTTCATTGTATTTTTTCTAATTTCTGTATCTCACCCTAGTGCTATAAACACAGAGGTGCATGCACAGGTGCATGCACGCGCACACACACACACACACACACACACACACATACACGTAATTTATAAAAAGATACCATAATTTTTAATTGAGAATAATTTGAGGTCTGTTATATGATTAATGTTTTTAATCTTGCTGAAAGAAGTTCTGCTTTTCTTCATTTAAATATATATTTACACATTAATTTACATGCTAAATAACTGTATAACTTCCTCTCAAGGCTGCAGAGCTGTCATGAGAAACTCTCCAGAAAACATTGTTTGCATTGTCTTTTCAAATACGCTGAGCTCCTTTTTTTTACCTCCTGTTGAGTTGACAGTGATCAATACCCTTAATTCTTCTTATAATAATTTTTAGTGTAATTTTCTCACTTGTACTTCATTTCTTTCATCAGTATGATGCATGTGGTCTCCACTAAAGAGCCTATTATTGGGAGTGCTTCAACTTGTAGATTGAGTGCTGCAAAGTCAATTTTTCATAGCATTAAGTATTTTAATAGCTACATTTTGATCCACTAGTGTTTTTAAGCAGATAGATATTTTTTAAATACCAGTGTTTTCAGACACCAAATTGGAAAACTAAAAGATTAAAACCTAAAATATTAAATAATTTTGGCAAAAGGTTTCAAATGTAAACAAAACTTACAGATTAAATTAATACCTTTTCATCATGACTTTAATCATTACTCAGGATACCACAGACTGTATTAATATAAATCTTTGCTTAAATTAAAAGACACTGATGTCCAGAGATCTTTACTGACTTCTATGTTATCTCAGCACTAATGACAGTGTTTGGAACAAAGTTAGGTCTATTAATTACCTTTGAAGTAAATTTTCTTACATTGAAAATTGTATTTACCAATAATGAAATATATATACCATACAATAATTTTATATTATTATCCTATACAACAAATTATTCTAATTTTAAGCATTCAATTAAGTGATTTGGCAATCTCGGATTTCAAACAGAAAACTAGTTTGTGGGGATAAATGGAAATCTTTTAATAAGAGAAAGATAAACATGTACATAGGGAAAGTGACTTTTTATGATTTGGAATTTTGATTCAGTAGTTACACTGAATATACTATCCTATTGAAACACCTAGATCATTAAAAGTCAAATCAAAGCTAGAAATGAATTGTGTATATTCATATTTAGTTCATTAGTTTTGATTCCTAAGTATGGAGTTTCATTAGATTTTTAATTATTTTGAATAGGGAAAAGCAGAAATCTAAGTAATCACTACTATCTTGGGTAAGTTTAGTTCATTTTATATATTGTCATACCCTTAGATTTTACATTTTCTGGGCAGTTCCTACTTTGTAACATTTTGTCCCTACAAAATTATCAATTTTTAAAGTCTTCATTGTTTTTATTTATACAGGTTTCCTTACATATTTGTGCAAGAGATTTTTAAATTTAAAAAAATATATACCTTATGAAGTGAAAGACCACACCCATTGACTTTTCTTAGACAGCATGGCTAGTGTTGGTTCTTCTGGTGTCATTAATTCTACTCTTCAAGGACTGTTCATGGAAAACAAAATGTATTATCATACTATCCATGCTATCTCATACCTCCACAGCATCACTTGTCACTGAGTCTATGGCCATTTGTCTACCAGTTACCATGACAACAACCTTCTCTGAGTGGACAAGGAACAACTGCTGTCACAGGAAGCAACTTTACATAGCAAATCCCATTTGTGTTACACCTTAATCCCTCATCATTAATAGATACATCATGCAAGCTCAGGAGAATTAATATTTGTTTGAAAAAAATTACTAATGGGGAGAGAAGTAGAAGAATGAATCATTACCTTTTAATCTTTTGGATTTCTTGTGGCATAATTTCTTGTGTTGTAATATTTCTTAAGAGTTATAAAGAAGGAAATTCTTTAATAAGAATTCATCATTTGAGCTTGACTATATGCTGTACCCAGCCATTACTAAATTCACATGTTTATTTTTAATCTTTTAAATTATATTTCCCAGTTAATGTAGAAAAGTCTATGTTTTTTAGTGAAACATACTTGACTACAAGATATATTTTACTGGAAACCAATGCATAAACAAGACAATTTAAAATTATCCTCGATATTGGATAAGATTGATATCAACAACAAAGGAATATGATTTATTCCTTTGTTGTATGTCCATGGATTTAAGTGTATGGAATGGACATAATTTAATCATTATTGTTTTTCCCAGAAAAGTTTTGTTCATATTCACATGAGAGGTGAATTATTTAAAACAGGAAGTTTAAAAGGTAAAATAACACCACTGAGCATTTACAATATTCCAGGTATTATGACAGATGTTTGACATTTGACATTGCTTCCATTTACAT